AGTAGATTATGGAGGTTGTGAGAAAGTGAAATCATTTCGTTAGTTGCAAGGATTAGCTGCATATTTAATCCTCTTATTTCCTTACACCTCTCTTATTGAACTCTATTGCCTTCTGAATTAGATGCTTAAAAGCCTTTGTTTATTCTCAACTGAAGATGAGATTTTTACCTTCTTCTAAGAAATTATTCCCGGTACTTAGGTCTTTCAGCCTGTTTCTTCGCCATTCACATTACATTTTGGTAACTGAGTTGAAATCATTTATGTCTGTATTTGACTTCTTACATTAAAAAAAAATGATTTATAATGCTTAAAAGATACCTCTGTAGAATCTTCCAGAACTGTTCTGTGTCTAACCTAGTTTTCTGGGACCTTTTGGAAAAGTGTTGAGTACTTGGGTTTAGGATGCTGTTAAGTGCTGTTGATCTTTGTAGGGAAGCACACAAGAGGAAGGGAAAGTTACTTCCATGATGTTTTCAGCCCAACTAGGAGATATATTAAAAGGACGCAAAAGCTAGACTTGATGGTGCACACCTTTAATTTCAGCACTTGGGAGGTAGAGGCAGGCAGAGCACTGTGAGATCGAGGCCAGCCTGGGATGGTCCACATAATGAGACCCTGTCTCAAAGAAAGAAAGGGAAAAAAAAGGATGCTAATCAGAATCATGAATTGGAAGATAAAATTGAGAATTACACTGTAGTGAAATAGGAAATTGGTTATATTCCTTAATGGAAAGGTGTGGTGTTCAAGTGGGCATTTCTGTCTAAGTACAGTGTTATTCTCCTAAATGTATTTGGATACAGGTAGTTTAACAGCTTTGTACTATAATGGTGCCTGTTAAAAATGGATGATATCATTAACCATTCTTTTACTATTAAACTTAAATTTAAGGCCAATTGAGACAAACAGTTCTGAGACCGTTCTTCCACCACTGATTAAGACTGGGGTGGCAGGTATTAGGGATAATAATATTCATTTAGCCTTCTGAGCTTTCTGGGCAGACTTGGTGGCATTGCCAGCTCCAGCAGCCTTCTTCTCCATGGTTTTGATGACACCCACAGCAACTGTAACAATGCATCGTAAAACCTTCAGAAGGAAAGGAGAATGTTTTGTGGACCATTTGTGTGTGTGTGTGTGTGTGTGTGTGTGTGTGTGTGTGTGAGAGAGAGAGAGAGAGAGAGAGAGAGAGAGAG